ATAAGTGAAAAACCGCAAAGTAGAAACATTATATTTATTTTAGTATGTGTGTGTGTGTGTATATATATATATATATATATATATAAAGGCTTTACAAATCCTTCCCACACTATTGCAATGTTGTAAACTCTTAAAACTACGTAATTTTAACAGCATACGTATATGTACTGTAAAGTAGTTACTGCAAAATTTTTTATGGGTACTAATCAGCCTTGGTGCGGTTCTGATTGGCTCTCTGCAGCCGTTCAGCAACAAGATGCTTTTAGAGAGAACCGGACCTTCGAATAGCAGCACAAAACCCACACCACAGTCCCGATCGATTCCAGATAATCCAGAGGGATCCAGAGGGATCCAGTGAGCTCCGAAGAAAACACCAAATCTCCAAGCAATGCCTCCCTACTTGAGAGGCTCCCTGGACCGGCAAGCAGCACTCAGATGGACCAATGACCAATGAGGCTGGAAGTCCAGTTCTGGTCCAATTCCCTGGTTGGTTCCGTATGGCTCTCTGCACCACTGAGCGCCTAAGTCACTATGAATAAGGACCGAACTTTTTCGGATCGGATCAAAACTTTACCTCCATTTCAGCAGAAAGCAACAGCTGGAAGCACTGTTGAATTCTGGGTAATGTAGTCCTTTTGACTGGCGACACAGTGCAGGCTTATTGAGATAAAAGGCAGCGCCGGTTCGAAGCATTTTTTTTCATTAACTTTTTACTCTATCCCGTACTGTCCCATTCACGTGAGTAATATTAAAGTTGACAATCGTGTGTCCTGTACAATTAATTTTTTTTGTTGTGAACAATCTTACTTTAAAAAAAAATAGCAAAAGAGGTTTTGTGATCAAATTCTCCGTGAACGCTTTTTCACATCAAAGCATCAAAAATGCAGTTTAATTCCTCTCCTGTTGCTCTCTCTTCATATAACAAATTGAACGCTGGTTTTATTCTCTTTCAGGACCTTTCTGCGTCCACAGGAGAACAAAACGTCGACCAGATTGCAGACGTCTCTCGCTTGGCTCGTCACAACTTTCAGCAATTCTCCATAAAAAGAAAACTGGGCTCTCATCTTGTGTGCTGACAAAAAGATCCAGCGCGTTCTGAAATAATCACAGTTTAAGATTGTTTCGTCTTCACCTAGAATGATTTTTCTTTTTTCCAAGAAGTCAGTACTTTATTTAAGCCTTTATCAATGAGAAACAGAAAAAAGGTACAGTTGCGAATAGATTACTTGATTAGACAAGTTTGTACATTATTTTATACACAAGTCTTGTTGGTTCACAGACCTCTACCACTGATAGCAGTTATATTTTTGTTGTTCCTTTTTTAGTTTCTTCATCTGAATTAAAACTCAAGCCTCTCATGTGACTGCAGCTTTGCGGAAGTGAAGCAAAGGCTCAGGCTTGCACCACAGTGGAAAGACGAGACATTCAGGGCCCACTGACCATTTTAGAATCACATAAGGAAGGTGAAACATCTACTTGAACATTATCCTGCAAAATTCAGGAAGTCATGTTGAATCACCTCCATCTTTCAACGCAGCAGTTTGCGTTGCCCTCGCCGGCTGTTTGTTTTGGCTCTCGGGTCCTCGCATACTTCTGTTTTTAACTTCCTTACTGTGGGATGGAGCACATTCATCGTTAAGCAGACTGTACAGTCGCTGCAGCCCACAGGAAACCACAATCCTCTGTACTTGTAGTTGCTGTGCACTGAGGTCCCACCTATGATGGCGTAGGTCTGGGTTTTAGCAGGTCGGCATGTTAAAGGTTATGAAATGGATGTTCTTGATGACCTTCACATTAGATTTTAAATGACAGAAACATCTCTGCACGTCTTTGCCTGTGAACTGTAATCAAACAGGACTTGGGGGTTGAACCTTTCAGGAAAATAGATTTTTGTTTAACTTTTAGAAATGTATAAGGTGACTAATGTTTAGTTCATAAACACAGGCATTTGCAGCTGCAGCTGCTTCTGATTGAAATTTTTTTTTTTTTTTTCCACCTTCAAGGAGCCCCTCAATTGCCATGGCGACAAACAAGACTTGAAACTTGTGAACGATAACGCCTCACTGCAAAACATCGTTTTCCATTGTGTCTGCATTAGAGGCATGCTTTGATTTTTAAGGTCTGAGAACATTACGCTTTGGGAGGATAAAGCAGAATTTTCATTCCTTCCTGGAACAGGTTTCATGTGTGTCATTTATAAACTATCCTGTTGTCCTTTTAGAAATTGCTCATCAGTGCAGTAGTGGCACGATAGGTTAGGACTGGGACTGCATGTTGTGAAACGAGGTCTCAGGATTTCCTGGAATCAAATAAAATAAAAAAATAGTTGCTAATAGCACTTTTTTCTCATCATTGTCATAAAATAAAATTAAAAACTGTGTAAACTGGTTAAAAAACATTCAGTTGTTTGTGCTGTCTTTGTATCCTTGTTTGGCTTATTGGCAATGTTTGTGATAGATGGCATCACACGTTTGCTACAGTTGTTTGAGTCAGAACCTGACAAGTTTAAGAACTTTTGCCTTTAAACAAGTTTCGCTTTCTACTGTTTGCATTGGCAGTTTTACACTTTGGTGAAAGTGATTTGAGGTAATTAAAACATGCAAATGGACAACAAGGCTGCTGTCTCACTTGAGAGACGCTCTGAGGATGTGGGAGGGGAAAATTTATGGTGAAATGTCAACGTCTCATACAGGAACAAGCTGCTAGTCATAGGGACATGGAGCTGGGCACATGAAAAGCACAAACAGTGCCGTTTCTGCAGACGCTTCATGGGGAAGCTTTTAGTATATGCTAAAGAAGAATAAAGCCATTTGATTTGACTGACCTTCATGTAAAGTCTTAAAACAGAATCTATTTATCTTAGCCAAATTGTAGGAATCAGAGAGAAGCCATGTTTCAGGCTTAAACACACTTTTGACTCCAAGGACCATATTGTCCATGTTTGCCGTTTTGACCAAGCATGCTATTGACCACAAACTTGTCATTATTGGACAATGTAAAAAAAAAAAAAGTAAAAGTTGTGTCCAATGTCAAAAACAATCCAAAATCAAAAATAATTAAAGAATATATACAATATTGTGTGTTAGATGAGAATACCATACTGTGCCCATGTTTTTTTTTTAAACAAAGTATTTTTACTAACTTTTTCAATTTTAAACACAAAACAGGAAACATAAAAAAAAACCCAACATAAACAACCCCCACCCACCCCGGATCAGTCAAACGCACATAGGGGTGGAAGTAACGAATTACAAATGCTCATGTTACAGTAATTAAGTAGACTTTTTGGGTACTTGTACTTTTATGCGTATTTCTTTCAAGTGTGTAATTTTACTCGTACTTAAGTACAATTTAGACCATGTAATCTACTTTGCTAGTTTTAAAATCAGAAGTTGCTTCTGAGTACGGCCACAATTTGAATTATTCAAACCGTTCATCTGCATCTTTGTAGCCAATTAGGCTCTCAGATCGCGAACACACCAATTACCAGAGATGGGATTTTAATTAGTCTAGCTATATACTGAACAGAAACCTAGGGTTATTTTTATTCTCATCTATTAAAGATGAATAATATACAGTTCTAGCTTTACGGAGAGCTTTCTTATATGTTAGCAGACTATCTTTCCTAGTTAAATAAAATTATTCAGTGTTAGTGGAGTGCTATTTTTCTCTCTTGGTTTCTAGATGTCTGCTTTAAGGTACGTAACTCAGAATTGAACCAAGGAGCTAATCTCTTATGATTTATTACTTTCTTTTTAAGCGGAGCAATTTTTTCAAGTGAAGTTTGCAATGAAGTTGTAAAATTATCAACAAGATCATCTAAGTCACTGTTCTCTGATGTATTACTCTGCAAGACAAAGGAAAACATTGATGAAATAGAGTCTTTAAATTTGGTTATGTTTTCTGATAAACACCTGCAAAGATGAAATTTACTCTCAGTGACTGTTTTTTTTACCAACTGAAACATCAGTTGGTTAAAAGTACTTAATACTCTGAGTATACTCTTTCCGCCTCTAAACAGACACTGCGCCCGTGTTTTAATGAATGTGTGGTCCTTCCATGTCTTTTAACTCAAAATTGAAATTATTCTGAACCCCCCCCCCCCACACACACACACACACACACGGTTTATCATGAAATAAATAATTACTTTTCACAATACATGTTACATAATACATTAAAGTTGTCCTGAAATGCTGAGCATAAGATAATCTGAACTCACTTCCTGGTTTTGAACTTTTTTTCCCAGCCAGTCAAACAAAGCTGCTCAGCATATTTCCCAACATGTCATCTGTGAAGACATAATGATGGTAAACACTGGAAATAACTTTTTCCCATATGGTTTATTTTTTCTTACACCCTAACAAAGTTATTATGGGCGATTTGATAAATATTTGAGCTTTGGTGGATTTTCATTAGTTTTTTATTAGTAATTTATTTCAATTTAGTTGTTACCTCAAACCATCCGTCTATCCATCAATTATTTGTACAAAAATAAATAAATGAAATTCACATATCCTGTTTTAAACCTTTGTACAGGACAGTTTAAAAAAAAAAATCCCAACAATAAAGGTTTTTTCATGCAGACCGATTTCAACACTAAATAATTTAAAGGTAGCCCAGTCATTGTAAAAAAAACAAACATACAAACAAATGTTTTTTAATTGCTGTTTTAATGTGTTTTAAATGAAAAAATGGTCAAAATGTGTGACTAGTTGACAGCTATGTGCATTTATTTATCTACTGAAAGAGCCAAAGTGACTGAAAATAGGTTAACAATGGCGACTCATACATGGAAGAGCTGTTTAGGATCGATAAGTCCAACAATTTTCTTGTATTAGTACGTCTTTATGCTCCTATTGTTGAGTAAAGGTACATAAAAATAAATAATGAGTTTACTGGTCAAGAAGAAGATTTGCAAGTGTTTGAATGCAGCGTCTTAATGACGCTCCATCCTGCTTGATCCTATATATTTATCTTGACAGCTGTCTTTTTTTGTGTGTGTGTGTGCTTTGCAGCAAATTCACTCATATTTCTGCACAAACATCTAGAGTGCACATTTGTTTACTTACAAAGACAACAGCCAGCTTTATGTAGGTCAATCACGTTGACTCAAGCTTTTTAGTTTTTGTCACATTTTGTCACATACGTGCTCTGTTTACGTTGAGCACACACCCGCATTTCAGAGTTGCCTATCAACATGGAAAACCACAGCAGCTGATAAAGTTCAAGATAATTTTATGTTTGATTTCATACTTTGCAGCGAGCACCTTTAATTCCTTAACGTTGAAGCCATTTTCAGTTTTCTCCCCCTGCAGCGTTTGCTGAATCAGATAAATAAAGCCGAACGTGTAACCTCAGTCTGGTTTGCTACTGACATCAGTTCTGTGAGTGAATGTGGGTTAACATGCAAGGCTCGTTTCCTTCCGCCAAATACTCTAATTAGTTGTTGTGAGGAAACGGCTCCGCTTGGAGTCTGACCCGCCTTCATGAGATGAACAGAAACAGAAGACGCTGGCTGCTGCATCCTGTCTTCAAGTGCTTTAAAGAAGCAATGAAGGACAAACTCAGACTTTTTCTGCTTCTGCTGAACCTCCAAACCACCCAGGTAGGTTTCCTCTTCCTCTTGTTTGAGGTATTATGTGTTTTGTTGTCCAGTCAGAGTTGAAATGAACTGTCAAAGCTTTAAAATATAGGTCATATTTCTAATAATCAGATTTATTATTTGGCTTCCTGCTCTGGGGTTACAATTTCTTTCCTAAGCTCCTCACAGATGATAAATCTAATACTGTGGAAATTTAATGCAGAGCTGCTGAGGGGATAACTTGATGAATTGCTAGTTTCGGTTCCCTGGGAATTATTCAGGTTCAACCTTATCAGTAAAAAATCAGATTTTCTTGCTTGTTGAGATGTGTGTGTAGTTATTTCAGACATGCACTGGAGAGAAAAGGTGAAAATGAAGCTCTGAGTGATGTGGTCCCAGGTCCTACTGCTGAAAACCCGGGGCTTCTTTCTGCCGCCTCTGTTTCCTGTAAACACTCCAACTGCAGTCAGCGTTTTGATGTTTGTGCTGTGGTGAAGCAGCTTAATGTGAGTCAGGTGTGCACACACTAACAGGGTCACGGTTTCTGTCAGCACACCGGTGCAGAGTTTGAGCTGCATGCATGCAACGCCCACAAGTTTCATGAGGTGAATGCACCTCTAAATTTGGACCAAGAGCTACTTTATAAAAAAAAGTAATACTTTATATTTAGCTTGTTAACAACTAAAGCAGTGAAGCAGGCATGGGCGGTCTGGTAAATGACGCTTACTAAACCACTTATTCCTTCATTAGTAAACACAAATAAAAAGTTGTCTTTCCATATTAACTGATGACTTGGCCTACACTGTAAATTAACCAGAGAAATTCATTGACTAAACCCATTTGTTTACATGCACTATAACAATGTATTTTCTCAATGTCAGACTAAATATTTCTTGTTTAAGTAAGTTAGGATTCCCAAAGTAATTTAAACACATTAAAGCTCTTAAAATATGCATATTTTCAATTATTTTAATTAGAAAATGATGTGCATGTGTATCATCTATTATAAGAATAACCACTAAATACGCATCTTTTACTACCAAAAGCAAACCTCTTAGTTAGCAAGAAAATGAGCTAAATCAGCAGGATTAGATTTTGTTGTCAGCAATGTTGAGTTGTTTATTTAGGGACATTGATGAGCACAGTCCTGGCTAGCGACGGATATTGACTCTGAAATAATTCCCAGCTGTAAACAAGAGTTGACAGGGAGAAAAATAATGTCTTAAAAAGTGAAAGCAGACTATAAATCCAGCCTTATGCTTTCGTCTTCTGAAAAGAAACCATGACTAAAACGCTCGTGGTGTGAAGAGCGTTACAATAAAAGTCATGTGCAATCAAACTGTGACAAAATATTCTAAACCCTAACAGAAGAATTTCCTCAAGTGATCAGTGATATTTACTGATTTGTAAACAAAGTCGAAGAATATTTGTTTTTTTTTTTAATGTAAAACACATTAGTTTAAGCTGCACTAAGACAAAAATAATCATTATTTCTTCTTCTTTCGGCTTTTCCCTCTTCAGGGGTCGTCGCCACAGCGAGTCATCCTCCTCCATCTCACTCTGTCCTCACTCCAACTACCTCCATGTCCTCTCTAACTGCATCCATATATCTCCTCTTTGTCTTTGCCCTGGCAGCTGCATTTCTAACATCCTTCTACCAGTATACCCCCTCCTCTGGACATGTCCAAACCATCTCAGTCTGGTCTCTCTAACTTCATCTCCCAGTTGTTCAACCTGTGCTGCACCTCTGATGATCTCATTCCTAATCTGATCCATCCTCGTCACTCCTAAGGAGAACCTCAACATCTTCATTTCTGCCACTTCCAGTTCTTTCTCCTGTCTTTTTGTCAATGCCACTGTCTCCAGACCATATCTGGTCTCACCACTGTCTTGTAAACAATCATTTAATGATGTAAAAATTGTACTAGAATTTTTAATCAAAACCATTGAAAATTGTTTATTTTGACAACTATTATGGCTATAAATGCTTGAATGACAAGATAAATTTTTAATTATTTTCTTCAAAGCTACAAGTAGGTTCTGGAGACGCGTCATGTAATCTGATGACAGTAAAATTGAAATGTTTGGCCATTATGACCATTGTCAAATTTGGAGGGAAAAGGTAGGTGGGGGAGCTTGCAAACTTGAGAGCAGCATCCCAACTTCGAAGTACGGCGGCGTCAGCATCATGTTGAGGGGGTCTTTTGTTGCAAGAGGGACTGGTGCACTTAACAACTTAACAAAATAGAAGTTATCACGAGGAAACGTACGTATGCAAACCATTATAATTAAACTGATGTTCTGTTTAATTAATTAAAGAACAAACTATATTCACAATATAAACAAATTTGATAAAAACAGCAGAAAGATTTCAGACGTCTGAATATTTTTTACATGTACAGTCACAGTCCACAGACAACATAAAGTTCCAAAATAAGCTCTTAACATAGCCAAGCATTATTGAAATTATTTTGTAAGTTTATTTAATTTAAACTATAGAAGCTTCTTTTTAAAAATATTTTAAAGTGCCCCACCTCCCCCAAAAAAGAAGGGAAAAATAAGAAAATAAAGACATTTCTTTAATATTGGCATAAATGGTTTTGGTTTTGCCCCCCCAGGCCCCCTCGTAGTCACATCTCTGCCTTCCTACAAACTACATATTTTTTATATAATTTGAGAATGGCTACATAACAGGTTGCATTTTAGAGTTCAGACTAATTTATTTATTTATTTATGATTTATTCATCTTCTCTCCCACAGGTCTGCTCTGTCCCATACCAGCCAGAACCAGACAGAAAATGCAACAACACAACAACCGAGTATCTGCATGAAACCCTCAAACTGTGCTGTAAAAGGTGCCCCCCTGGTAGGTGCTACACCGTAAATAAAGCAAAGATCATAATTTTTCTAAATGTTCCTAAGCCGAGTCTCATGCTGATGATCAGGCACCCCACTGAAGGTGTTTACAGTTTAATGGCTGCTTCATGACACATATTGTAACGTAGTGGTGAACATTCTGGGCGTGGAGGTGTGAGGAAAAAAATGTCGCCTACTGTAGATGATGTGTTCTTATTTTAAGACAAGATCATACTGTTTATATAAGCTTAAAAACACCAAAATATTTCATGACCGTTTTACTTTTTTCAAGCTAAAAACATATACTTTGTTGGGGGAAAAAAAATCTCTTGGGCTACGAAGCAAGACGTTCATAACTATCATTTGATTTACAAACCTAAACTTCCCAAATGTCTTTCTTTTAAGATAGATGTGGACAAAAGCTGGATAAGTTAAATTTGTTCTTTTATGTTCATTCTCAAATATTCCTCTATGATTTCCTCTAACAAGAAGCTGAAAGTGATTTTGAAGAGTCTCAAGTGCATAAAGCTTCCAACTCGGTTTCAGCTGCAGGCATAATACAAATACAGCATTACAATTCAGTTAAATGTATTTATATAGCACCAAGTCACAACAGAAGTCATCTCTGGGCACTGTATAGAAACATTCATATACATAAAAAGTTAACGTTATTTTTCTGAGGAGCAACCATCAAGCAAGCAGCCATCAGGGCACTAACGATCAGTCGTTAGGCCGTTTGGCCTCCTTAGGCTTGGGCATGGTTTGAAATTGAACAATTCCAGTTCAGATTCCATTTCCTCATGTCAATTCCAGTTCCTATCGATTCTCAATTCCAATTCTTTTTAGAGACTAGGTTCAAAGAAGTTTACATGCTTTAAATGAGCTAGCTAACCAGAGTTTGTCTTTGTTCTCTACTAATGTCATCACTCTCTGTTAAAATCAGGTCTCTCTTGTAAATGAGTCCCCGAGGCTCAATGGGATTAACCTGTATAAATAAAGGTTGAATGAAAAGTTCTTTCTGGATTAAATAATTTGAACTTCTCTTTGAATCACACCAGTGATGTAACACACTGTCACTTAGAAAATATTAGGACGAGAGAGAAAACAGATTGCTCACAGTTTTAGGTTCAAGCAGAAAGCAGCAGAAACCGATTCTAACTGTGTGAACAATACTTTCACAACCACATTTTTGAGGTTTTTTTCCACAATCTAATTGTATTTATTGCTTTTCTTATGTGTACAGATCGACACACAGTCGTATAGGCACACACACATTTTTATATTTTTATTTTTTTATCTATATATATATATATTAAATGCTGTGGTTTGTGTGTGATGTTCTTTGGCACAGAACGTAAAAAAGTGAGAACAGTGGTTTGTGTGAGGAGCAGGAATGCAGCTTTACTCTTTCCTCCTTCCTGAAGCCGTGCCTTCATCTCATGTTCCTGATAATCTTATCTCAGCGCACACTTGATCGCTTTACACCCCACTTCTCTGTTGAGTAAAAGCAGCATGCCAGCAAGAGACTTTTCTCTAAAAAAATGTGCATTTTTAAACTTGTAGTAGGGAGAAAAGAGTAAAGAAAATGCTATATGTATCATAAAACTAGGCCTACACTCAAAATGAAGAGAATATTTTAATAGTTTGTGTATTAATATTATCACTTTACAATGCTCATGAAGTGTGTTAAACATAAAATATGTTAAATAATTGGTTTTACTCATTTTACTGTTTGACCAAAAGAAATATTAACACTAATATTTTGTTGCACCACATTTAGCTTTGATGACCGCCTGTATTAATGTGTTAATATTTAATAGGTTTATCCAGTGTTACATTGGTTTACAGTGCAAGATTTTTGACTAGATATTCTGTTGATGATTCAGATTTAGTTTCTTATTCAGTTTGTTGTCTTTTATTAATGTTGAAAACATAAAAACATAAAAATAAGACTAAACTACACATTTCAAGTGTAACTAGAAGAATGCATTTTCTGCAAAAAAAGCAGCTGAATGCTGAAAGACTTTAATGAAATGTTTTTAAAAATGAATTTACTGAGTTATTAGTTAAAAGGAAAACAGGAGCTAATGTTAGCGAAACAGGAATTAAAGCTAAAAATGAGCAAAAGTATTCGCTAACAGGTCTCTCTTGTAAATGAGTCCCAAGGCTCAATGGGAACTAACCTGTATAAATAAAGGTTGAATGAAAAAAAAAAAAAAAAAAGCTTAAATTAGCAAACTGTAAGTAAAAATAAACTGCAAAACAAAAATTGACAAAACAGCAGCTAAAAACTATTAAAGCTATATAACAGATAAGCTATATAAAAGCTATAATTTTTTTTTATCAAAAAATAAAAATTGGTATAACTAAAAGCTACAATTACCAAAACAGCAGCTAAATGCTTAAAATAGCTCAACTTTAGGTAAAAGCTAAAATTAGCTAAACTGTGACTAAAAGCTTAAGTTAGCAAAACCATAGCTTTAAGCTATAATGAACAAAATTGCAACTATAAACTAAAATTAGCAAAGCATTTAGAAAATATTTAATTTGCAAAACCATAGATAAAAGCTAAACAGAGCATACGATTTGTAAATGGACTGCACTTATATAGCACTTTTCTATCTTCTCAACATACACAAAGCTCTTTACACCACAAACTGTGCCCTCATGTACCCATTCATACAGAACTTTACTATATCTATGCAAAGAATAATCAGAGCTTTATCACATTCATACACCAGTGGGACACACATCAGAGGCAATGAGGGGTTCATTGTCTTGCACAGGGACACTTCAGCATGTGACTGTTGGTGGAATCAAACCCTCTACTCTTGCATTGGCTGCTCTAACCACTCAGCTACAGCCGCCCCAAAAAGACAAACAGAGCAAGTATGCTCAGGGGAGAACATTTTTGAGGAAATTTAAGTGATTTCAATGCATTTTATAGGGATTTTATTATTGGTAAATAAAATTGAATAATTCAGGATGTAGCTACCAATACTAACATGTTCAGTCAAATCATCTGGATGGTTTCTTTTTTTGCTGAGACCTTTCCTCCTTCATCCAAAGGACTTCTTCAGTCTGAGGAGACACAAACAAACTGGAGTCCTACAAGCACCAACTCCCATAGTGGAAAAAAAAAAGTTTGCTGCATGGTGATAAGATGGTTTCTGGGCTCCGCCCTCTCCCCCATCAACTCCTCTAAGGCAGTCATGCCAAAATGGTTCAAAACACCAAAGTTCATGTGCAATAATCCAGGTACAAACCTAACAATGTTCAGTCAGGTCATCTGGACGGTTGTATCTCCTCGCCCTGAAAAAGACCTTTGGATGACAGACGAAATGTCTCAGCAAAAAAATAAACTGTCCAGATGACCTGACTGAACATTGTTGAATTTTATACCTGGATTATTGAGCACGAACTTTGGCGTTACAAATACTACTATAAGTAATGGCAAACATTTTAACATTAGAATGTTTAATATGGCACAATGTACATGGAAGTAGCTTGACAGCCAAAAACGTTAGGAAAGAACTATAAAGAGGAAAATAATAGTGTGAATGCTGACTCAGTGTTCACACAATAAATAAATTATCTCTATAAATAACCTATGACTCCTTCTTAAAGATCCTTTCAGTGACTTTCAAAGACTCTCAGTGAGGTAGAAGTCCCAGTACAGTGATCCTCATGTCCCTAAAGCTCAGCTCTGTTCACTGTAAACTGTAAAGTTTTTCAGAGTCAGAGTCAGAGTTTCTTTATTGTCATTCGCACCTCATGTGGTACATGTGGTGGAGCGAAATTATGTACGCAGGGTCCCAGTTACATCCAACAATAAAATGCACAAGAAAAACAGCAATGACATCCAAGATATGAACCAAGAAAAACATCAACTAAATATACACCAAGCACTCATAACATAAAACATTGAACATCAGCACAAACATGAACATGAGTCCGCGAGCAGATGTGCACGCATGAACACATCAACATTGAAACAGATCAGCAGCAACACGAAACAGATCAGCAGCAACACGATATGGTTTTTCACAGTGATTATTCTAGTCAGAGATTCATGAGTCTAACAGCCTCAGGGTAGAAGCTGTTCCTCAGTCTAGTGGTTCCACATTCAATGCTCCTTAACCTCCTTCCCGAGGGGAGCGGGGCAAAAAGTGTGTGCGCTGGGTGGGTGGGGCCCTTCATGATGCAGGTGGCCCTCTTCCTGCATCTGAAGGTGTAGATGTCTGTGACGGTGGGGAGACCGATTCCAACAGATTTCTGTGCAGCCTTCACCACTCTCTGCAAAGCTCCTCTCTCTGCAGCACACATAAAAACATGTAATATTCTTAATATTGCATAAACTATGAATTGGCATCTTGAATCTCATTCAGGAAATGGCAAATATGCTAATCTGGCTCTGCCCGCATCTCACACGCTCAGCACTTTCCTAAATCATCCTTTGAATCTGTGAAACTGACTGTACACTCATAATGTACTCATAATGTACTCATAATGTACTCATAACCAGCAGCTATAAATGTCCCAGTCAGCGATCGCCCGGGAGCTTCAGCAGCATATTACTGACTTGACTTGACTTTAAACACGTGCTGTGTATTATTTGAAAACCCTACGATTCTCAGCAAGTGAGTCATCCATTCTAATTACTTTTTACCAATTGCGTTGTTACAATACGAAGGCTGAAGTTTTGGTAAATGAATCTCTTGTTACCAGGAGACGCATCTTCCCCCAAGAGTGGGGTGGACCAATAAAGATAAAACGAATAAAAAGAGAAAGAACCTGTGGTTGGATGTTGTTGCTGAACTCGTTGGTGTCATCTTGTAAAGTTTAAAAAACAAACCAAACAGCAGTGATGTTCTGGATGGTGAAGGTCTGCTGCTCTGGTGTTTGAGTGCAAGAACTGAGCATGAAAGTGGGACAGGAAGAACCGTAACAGATCTCCCTTCTCACCTTGATAACTGGAACAGTGGCAGTCTTAATTAGTCCTAAACACACGAATAATAAAACACAAAGATGTTCAAAAGTTGATTTTGTGCTATTGTTATTTTTTTCTCTGGACCAATGCTTCTTATCTGCTCAAAACAATTCAACAAAACTTCATTTGAATTTGTACCACCACTAGATGGCGTGTTACATGATTTTTTTTTCATAAACCCAGCTTCAAGGTCAAGATCATAAATCAAGGTCAAATGTTATACAAGGTCTTTGCTGATCCCACCCGTTACTTCTGATCTACACGAGATGATCTAATAATATCTGATACCCATACAGATAATCACTAGAAGGTGTGTCATGCACACTTTTCAATCACCCCAGCATCAAGGTCACAAATCATGGTAACATTATACAAGGTCTCTGATTGTGTGGCCCATAACTTCTGATACGCTCAAGATAATTTAACGAAACTTGATCCACCACTAAGTGTAAGGTCACAAATCAAGGTTAAAGGTCTTTGTTTGCTATAGGTTTCTGCATATTAGTTTACTGATGTGCATAAAAATGTGCCGTATACTCTTGTTTTAGGTTTTTATGTGTTGGACAGTTCCTCATCCAGTCTTTGTACTTCCAGTTTTGTTTGCTTGATGCAGATCAGAAATCTGACCTTTTCAATTTGATGTGTCTTCACAACATTGCTGGTGAAGGAATGAGAAGCTACTTGTTGATGTTAGAGTTAATTGACTTCTGACATATCTCTACCACTTCAGTATTTATTTTTTTTGGATGGGTGACACTTAACTGCTGCTTAGTTAAATCCAGACAGTGACTATTTTTGCCCACACAGTATTTGTAAAATTACTTTTTTTTTTGTTACAGGGCATCGTCTGGATAAAGAGTGCAGTAAAACTGGAGATACTGAGTGTAAGCCATGCGAACCAGGGAGGTACATAGAGACCTGGAACTTTGCACAAAACTGTTTCTCCTGCCCTAAATGCAAAACAAGTCAGTAGATGTGCAGGACATTGAAGTTACAAATTTAGATTTATTTATTTATTGTTCAGTTTTACTTATTAATATGTGTATGTGTACGTTTCGGTATTTACCCAGCAAAAGGTCTCCAGATTGCCCAGGCGTGCACCACAACCACCAAGTCCAAGTGTATTTGCCAGTCTGGAAAGTACTGTGAGATCGGGTTTAACAGCCCGTACTGCTCAGACTGTAGGAGCTACACAAAGTGTAAACCTGGTTATGGAGTGGTAAATCCAGGTAAACACAATCCCCGGGATTACTATTATATATTTACAGAACATACGATAAGTACCATATTTTTCGGAATATAAGGCACACTTAAAATCCTTTAATTTTTTTCAAAAATCAACTGTGAGACATAATCAGGTGCACCTTATGTATTAAATCTGGTTGTACTTACTGACCTCAAACTGATTTTATGTGGTTATTATGAATGAGTTGAATACAGTTTGACTAGTTTGTTTCACTTAATTTCCGGTGCGCCTTATAGACCGAAAAATACGGTATGTGGCAACAGTAAATGTTGTGTTATGAATTCTTCTTTTATTGTTATCAGTCATGCTAAACTCAGATGTCAAGTGTGAACTCTGCCCAAATGGGACATTCTTCGATAAACTCTCCTACATGGATCACTGTCGGCCTTCTTCAGCGACCGTGGTCACAACTGCAACTATAATAACATCTCCGGCCGCAGGCAGCTCATATTTAACAAGAACCTCCTCTCAGTCCGAGGGGTTTATCGGCTCAACGGTGGATTCCAATCTTTCACACAAAAGCCGTAACAGTGACCAGGGTACAAACACCAATATCAAACTGCTACACATAATTTATTTAACAAATATGTTTAATGTGATGTCTAAGTTGCATTTGTATTTATTTCTCTGTTAGTTGCGGTCATTGCTCGTGTCATTGGACTGCTGGGGTTTCTGATCGTGGTCATCCTCCTGCTGTGTCTTTGCAAACAAATCTGGAGAAAGGGTAACAGCACCCCACAAAAAATACATTCATCATTCTCATTTAAGAAAAAAGCTGTTGCTGTATTGAAATTACATTTATCTTTAAATATTGTCACAATTTCACTTTATTCCTAACCTTTACTGAACATCATTTCTGTTTTTTTGTTTTGAGATTCTGCAAGCTTACATCCTAAAGTAGATGCAAATGGAAACTGTGAGACTACAGATGAAGTAAGTTTTGTCTTGTTCTCTGTGCAATAAACAAAATCATCTTTTTTTTTTGTTTGTTCTACGCAATCTACAAGAGTTAAATATTACAACGTAGCCTTGGATTTAACAAACTAAATGAACACTCAGGTGTTGTTAAATAAGTGTCACTTACCTAAACTGTGATACATGAATTTGTGATTTATTTTCACTTATTTCACTTTCATTTTATTTTTATACGTTGATATACAGTGTCAACAAAGCATCAATGTTGTTTCTTTTGCTTTGCTTTAAATCCATCTTAAAGCAACTTTTTTCTCACTCAGTAAGCACAAAGGAGTGCTTTCTACATAAAATTAAGACTGAGTTATTGGACATGATTAGAAAAGCATATTTCCATCTGCATGAAGTATTTTAGTTGATGATACATAAATTGCAACATATGGAAGGAGCTGTATTTCAAATGCTCAAAAGCTCAGTCGTATTTATAATTATCAGTAACTTCCAGATGTTAAAGGACTTTAAAATTAATCAAACTTTTCTTACCATACCTGCAGGTTGATCAGAACTACACGGTGGAGTCCAAGATGACTTCATTCACACTTACGTCCCCAGAACAGGAGTGTTTGCTCGAGAAAGGGAGAGAAGGCAGCAACCTCAGTCAACAGAGTAACAAATCTGAAACTTTAGCCGAAGCAGACGATGACACCAGCCATGACTGCATTGGCTCTTTGCAACCAACTTTGGCTATTACTGGTCTGCCTTCTGCCCTGTCAGAGCCCATGACCCTACTGTCCAACACAGAACCTGCCAGTCCCCAGACCAGTATGCCAACACAGCCCACCAGCCCGCAGATCGTCAGCCCTGTGACTAACAGTCCCCATGTGAACGTTAACATCACTTTGCACATAGGAAATGGGTCTTGTAGAAACCCCTCACTTAAATCAACAGACTTGAGTCAAGCAGAATGTAAGCTGCCCTTTGGACAAGAAGAGGAGTCCTTCAGCACCCCACAACAAGAGGCGGGCGACCTATTGAAGGCATCATTTCCAGAGAGTGTCTATTGCAACTCATGAAAAAAAAACAGACAGGATTTTTTTTTTCATATGGTGATAACAGTTTTACCAAAAACATGTACTTGAATGTACGAGCTGTTTACACATGTGCACACCGAAAAGCCATTTCAAGGTCATTAGCTGCGACTTGTATTTGTTTATGTCTGTAAATAGTGTCTTGTACATACGTTTTACTAAGGTAGTAATGTATGCCCTATATCATCTAGGTTTTTTTTCTCACAATTATATGCTTAAATTGTACAGCAGCCACAAAATAAAAGGATAATCATTTGGACCTTCAGAGCTTTAACCTAAATCCCACACAGTACTTAAATGGCAGGTTATTGATTTACTGGGATGAAAAAAGGGGAACAAAAACCTGGAACATTTCACCTGATGAAATAAGCTATGGTAGAAACCTTTACAAATATATGCTGGCAATGAAAACTAATGAATAGCAAATACTAAATCAAGACAGAACTATCCCTTAAGAAAAAACAAACTCTAAAATCAATCTTGTAGTAAAGTGTGCGTTCCTGAATTTTCTGCTCTTCGTCGCTGCTCCCTGTGGTTTCTGCGGACACGAGCGACACCTGCTGGTCAAAGATTAACACTGCAGCCAGTAACAAACCGGCTTATGAACACTTTAATTCATAAAACCGTTTACACTTAGATCTTAAAGTCACTTTTCTATTTGCGACGACTCCAAAGCTCACTTATAAGTCAAGCTACTAATCACAAAAATTAAGTTTCTGTCTGCATTTCCTCCCTTGTTGGATCAAGGTAAACGGCTAAACAAGAAACGGAGAGGAAGTGTGAACCGTTTCATTATTAAAAGTAGGGGGGGATGGATTACAATTTTTCATCTATAGTTAAAATTTTATGCCTCAAATCATAGCATAGATGATTAAAGTTACGTCTTTTAAAATTATTTATTCGTTACCATTTATTTTATTGTGAAAAAAATCCGACTGCTTTTATTTTGTAAAAACCTGTTTGACTTGCCACCCCTATTCACTGCCGCAGTTGGTTGCATCTGTTGCCGCTGCGTGTTGCTCTCCTCGCTAGACACTTGTGTGGAAGCAGCTGATGTCGCTACGAGATTGGTAGGTGAAGGGGTTTCATTTTCCGCTTTTATCCATCTTTTTTTGAACGAATTGTCACTTTAAGTTCCGTTTAATCCATTCATGGCACCTGAAATGCATGTGTTTATAAATGTGGAGCCCATTTAACTATTGCTGTGCCTCTTTTGTGCCCTCTCTGCCCTCTCATTCATCCTTTCCGCTATGGTTTTGTGTTCTGCTCAGGTCGGTCGTGTTTACATATCCATCCATTCATCCATTTTCTTTACCTGCCTTTCTTTTTCCGGGTTTTGGGGCAGCTGGTGCCTACGAGGCGGGGGTACACCCAGGACAGGTCGCAAGTCCATCACAGGCTGCTAATATGCCTGGCTCGGTAGCTTCTGATTGTTCAAAGATAAAACAATCTTGTTGCAATCTTCATTTTTTTACTCGGGGCAGGAAGGTCGACGGCAGCAGAGAGAGGCTGCAGGTGTTTGTCTGTTTGTTGTCTGCTTGGCGCAAGCATTTAGTGTTAAAAACACGTTTCAGACCCTTTAAACTTAGTTAAGGAAGGAGTTTAGCAGATTGGAAAATGCATTTCCTTACACAGCTTCGTCACATCCAGGTGTTCCCTCAGGTAAGGAGGAAGCTGACAAACCGAAAGTTAAACTGCAGCTTCTTCTCTTGAATCAAGATTAGATTATTAGGTTTTCATAATCTCTGAGTTAAAGTCTCCATCATCTACCACATTTTTTTTTTTTTACTGCCCTGTCAGGGTGCTCATTAAGTTATTGCTTGAATTGTTAATTAAGAACACAGTCAGCACTGTCATAACATACCATAAAACTTATACTATTCTGATTTTAAAAGCTGATATTTTGGGGGGGGGGCAACACCACAGAAAACCAATAACTTGATCCGATTTGTAGCGGAAGAGATTTAAGTATTAAACAAGTTCCTATTTAAGTACATTTTCTTATAAATGCCCACAAAAATGTGTTACTTTGTTGAAGCTTTTAGTCTCAGATTAAAGTTAAGATGCATTTTATTTCCAATTTCTTCTTCTTTTGGCTTTTCCCTTTTCAGGGGTCGCCACAGCGAGTCATCCTCCTCCGTCTCACTCTGTCCTCTGCATCCTCTGTCCTCCATGTCCTCTCTAACTGCATCCATATGTCTCCTCTTTGTCTTATTCCTGGCAGCTGAATTTCTAACATCCTTCTACCAGTATACCCACTGTCCCTCCTCTGGACATGTCCAAACCACCTCGGCTGGTTCTCACTAACTTGTAAATCTTTCTTTTGACATTTTGCTGCCCACTCTTACATCCCAAATCACCCCTGAAACGTTTCTCCATCCACTCCTTTCTTATGGGACAGTTTATTTTAATGCATGTTGTTTAATATGTTTCCAGCAGCGACCAGGTTGAAGAGTCCTGAAGATTCTCCACGAACACCTGCATGGCAGTGAACCATTCACTTGCAAATTAAACCACTAGTCCTCAGCTCCAGAACAGTCTTTTTAAATGCTGCGCAGTCTCTCCTTTGGCAAATGGCTTGTTGTCTGAAGGACGAGCTCCTCTGTTCCATCTGCCTCAGCATCTACCAGGACCCTGTCAGCTTTGGCTGTGAGCACTACTTTTGCAGGAAGTGCATCACCGAGCACTGGAGCAGGCAAGAGCCTCACGGAACGCGGGACTGCCCCGAGTGCCGGAGGACCTTCGCCGATCCGCTCCTTTCGCCGAGTCTCAAATTGTCCAACATTGTGGAGCGCTACTCGGCCTTCCCGCTCGACGCCATCCTAAACGCTCAGAGGAGCCCCTACCCCTGCAAAGACCACGAGAAGGTCAAGCTCTTCTGCCTCACAGACAAAAGCCTGGTGTGCTTCTTCTGCGACGAGCCGACGCTGCACGAGCAGCACCAGGTGACCACGATCGACGAGGCGTTCGAGGAGATTCAGGTCAGTTGTAGCTAACACACTCTGACAGCTCATTAGTAAAGATAATCTGACATTTTACTGAAAAAAAGCCCTTTGCATTGGATTCTTGTAGTTGAACTCTTGTCTCCCCCATGGGAGCTGCCTAGGCTGTTCAGCATTAAGACCTCGGCTACTACAGAGCTGCTCCATGTAAGCAGTTTTCTCATGAGAACTTCATTTGGAGTAGTAGCTGAAGAATGAGGCATATCTAATTTACTTTTCCCAAAAGGCCTGTATGAGTCCACTGACCTTAGATAACAAGATTCTAGTTGGTCACTCCTGTTATTAACAAAGGTCAGAGTGTTTTTCATTCTCTGATAAATACTTAATTGAGTAAAAAGATGATTCAATATGCAGCTCATGTTGCCTAAAAGTTCTTCAACTATAAAATTATGCAAAATGAATCTGAGGGAATTTGGGAAAACTGGGGTTTCATTTGAAATATGCATGCTTGACATAGAAGAATGCACAATTAAAATTATATTAATGCATATTTTACTCTCGGGTACATGTGAGTTTATTAGTTGTTGTTAACAGCATGCCTTGTTTCACGCTCCTAATTTGGCTAAGTCATGTAAAATTCAGTCAAAAATCTCAGCATATTTACTTTAGAAATAACAGACTTATCTGCTGGTTTTTTTTTTTCTGTAACTCTTGACAAAACATGCTTTTTAAATAAACAAATACTACAATATGATCAGTTTTACGAGGTAAATCCTAAATTTGAACCTGGAAATGCATCAGGATTACGTCCCCCTGTGAGAGCTGTGAAGTGTTGCGCTCGTCGTGAACCTGAAATACTCACTTAAACCAGTCTTTTTTTTTTCTCAGCATTTTTCATCTGATTTCTGTGCTTTCAGCCCTAGTATAAAGTATAACAGAAAAAAATGAAAAATAATTTGGTTTGTTTCTGTTCAGATATTTTGACTCTCAAGGAAAATTATCTGTTAAGTCCACCAGCACAAGAAGGATTTGGTGAAGTAAAGAGATGAAATACCTCAGAAACATTTAAATAACTTAACTAATTTCAGATTCAGGACTTTAGACAATAATTAGCAGTGGCTGTGAGAATCTGACTCATTTTCCACGAGTAAGAATGGTGCAAGTGTTTGCTTGCCGCTTGTTGTTTGAATAATTCCATTCCCACTGAGCCAAAATCCAATAACTGTGAAACAAAGCTCCTAATCCTTTTTCTTTGGTGTTCCAGTACACATAGCAACACACTCCAGGCTTGTGCTAAGGCGCATATTCCAATTTTCATGTCTGCTTATCACTGCAGATATCTTCTGTCACTAAAAGGACATTTCTAGCCACACAAGAAAGAAAAAAAAATCCCTGATGGATACAAATCATATGAGGTTTTAAAGGTTTATATTGTTTGGAAATAACCATGTAGTCTTACTCTCTGACAAGTCCTTCATCCATGCACAGAATGCATCTCTTGGATCGCTGCAGCCTTTGACTATTCATGATGCTGACCTCCTTGACTTGTCTAAAAATATCTTTGACGTGGAGAAGTTCATTCTGCACTGGCGCCCTGAAACAGTGAGCGGACAATTATGAACTCCACCCGATGGAGAAACGGAACTGCTAAAAAAACAGAGCTTGTGTTGTTTAGAGGTCTACCAGGGCTGGGCGAGTTAGGCCAATTCGGGACTCGCTGGAGGGATTATTTTGTTTCCCAGCTGGCCTGGGATTCCCAAAGAGAAGCTGGAGGGATTTGATGGAGATTGAAATACTGGTATCTGTACTTCCCTGTTTCCCTTGTGACTCAGTGGATTACATGGTTTGTGGTAATTGATAGATAAATGTGTTTTCATTTTTGTAACATGCAGGGATTTTGTCTCTTAATACTGCTTTAACCATCAGTTTTAATCAAAATTAGTTTTTTTTTTAATATATCTCACCAAAGTAATGTAATAACAGTTCTGTGCAAGAGTTTTAAACCACTCCTAATTTCTTTATACTTTGCTGTTTTTTTTCTTT